GACATTATTCACAGATTTGGTCTGCCAGAAACAGTTACAACAGACCAAGGTACAGTTTTTGTCAGCCATCAGGTGGAGGCACTTGCAAAGGAAATGGGTTTCTGTTTGTTAAATTCTACTCCTTATTATGCACAAGCTAATGGGCAAGCGGAAGCTTCTAACAAGGTGGTGATTAATTTGCTTGAAAAAATGGTGGATGACAATCCTAGACGCTGGCACGAATTATTGTCTGAAACACTGTGGGCTTATAGAACTTCACAAAGGAGTTCAACCAAAATAACACCTTTTGCCTTGACATATGGCCATGACGCAGTCTTGCCAATGGAGCTAACAGCCAGGTCTTTAAGAGTGATGATTCAGCATAATCTCCAGTCTGGAGAATATGATGAGGCCATGATGCTTGAGCTGGAGGACCTTGAAGATTCACGTTTGACAGCTTTGGATAGATTGCAAGCTCAAAAACTTAAAGTTGCAAAGTCTTACAACAAGAGGGTAAAAGGTAAAAATCTGGTAGTTGGTGACTTGGTCTGGAAAGCAATTTTACCTCTTGGCAAGAAAAATCACAGATTTGGGAAATGGTCTCCAAATTGGGAAGGACCATTTCGAATTCATGAAGTGTTGAGAGGGGGTGCTTATTGGTTAGAGTCACTTGATAGAGAGCTACATCCCAAGAAAATTAATGGAATTTATCTCAAGCCTTACTACCCTACAGTCTGGGAGGCAAGAGGCTTAGAGTCACAAGAAGCTGTCTGAGCCAGGTTTATACTTCTGTCTGCATACAAATAAGTTGATTTGCTTTCATATGTTTATTCAAAAAAAAAAAGAAAAAAAGAAAAAAAAAAAGAACATGATGGATCAAGCGGCCTTGTTTGGCTGTGGAGGCAAGCGATGTTCAAACAGAATTAAATCAAGATAAGAAGAAAGGGCTTGCTACAATATATTTGCAAGAAGAGAGAATATCAACAAGTTCAAAAGTAAGTTTATAATGTGGCTTATAGCCATAGGCTGCAGAATCAGAAATGATCTAGACAGTGAAATGGATGAACAAAAGACTTAAGGAAAATGGTTGCGCCAGTCATTCCATTCCATCCTCATGAGAGTGAGTTCTTCTTCAGCTTGGTCAGCAGAGTCTGTAAGCCTTTGCAAAGTCTGCTGCAAAGTGGCGGCATGATCAATGTGAGAATTTAATTCAGCAAATGCTTGAGTCCTTTGATCAGACAAGGTATTTGCAAATTCTTCCTGGGAAGAAAGCTGTTCACGGAGTCTGGATAATTCTGCCTCAAGACGCTGGATTTCACCTTGTGTGGTCTGTATGCATTTAAGCTGAGCTTCATGATCATGCTTTATGGATAAACATTTTGCCTTCTTGTTGACCAAAGTTGCAGTCTCATCATCCACAGTTTTACGGGCAAACTCAGCTTTCTCTATAGCATCTGATTTGACCGCAAAGCGCCTGCAAAAATCTGTGAAGATAAAAGGGAAGTCAGTCCAGAATTTTTTCTGAGTTATAGACAAATCTGGTGAGTGACTTAAGATTTTAGCGGCGCTGATGATGGTTGGCTGGTCTGGAAGGCGGTAGAAATTTGCTGGATCTCCATTAATTAGCTCATCTAAAGTCTGGATAGCGATGCTGATCTGTTCTGGGCTAGGTATTGGCGTGTCTGAGCCAGTACTCTCAATTACCAATTTTCCTTTCCTTGTCAGACGTGATTCTCTTGACAGTGGAGGACTTGTCAATTTCTCAAACTTGGCAAAGATTTCGTCTTCCATGGCATCATCAATGGTAATTGGAGAAGTTGAAATCTGTTTTATAAAAATTATTAGAGCTTACAGACAGAAAGTTTAAAGCAGACTTTGTTGTGAATTCTCACAAACAAATTACTTACTGTGGGGGTTGGAAAGCTGGCTTGAAGTGGAGTTGATGTAGTGGAAGTGGTTGTCTTCTTGGTGGTGGTAGAGAGATCGATCACTTCATTTGGGTTGACAGTCTTGAAATTCTTGTTAGCAAGCCGCAAGGAGGAGCGAGAACCTTTCGTCTTGGATGAAAGTTTTTGGGTGTTTGAAGGAGAGGAGTCTGAATCTTCGCGGCTGGGAGACTTCTCAATTGGGTCTTTAATAGTGGGATTGTGAGTTATTTCATCAATCAAGCCCTGCAGACGGACATCAACAGCTGAGGAGGCTTTAGAAGGAGAAGATGGAGACATTGTGGCCAACCTTTTAACTGAAGGAGGTTTCTGGGCTGCTCGTTTGATACCTGCAAATGAATTTCAAGAGGAGTCAATATCTTGTGAATTGGAAACTTAAAATAAGGTTTATTTTTACAATTAGATAATACCTCCTCTTTTGGGAGCCTGGTGGGATGCCTTGTTTGTTTCAGGACTTGCCATGCTAGACTCCTTCCGCTTGGCTATTGCCCTTCTTTTTGCCAAAGTGCGACGTGAAGCAGCAGAATCTGGGATTGTATCATCAGTCTGAGGTTCTATGTTTACTGCAGGCTGGCTGGAATGTGAAGAAGGAAGAAGATTGATAAAGTTCTTGGCCGCACCAGAAAAACTTGGCGTAAAATAAGACTTCCACCATTCCTTGTATGCCGTAGTGCATTTGGGTTTGAATGGCGGATCTTGGAGGTTTATACTCTGAAGAGCAAGCATTGAAGTGGCTAAGCACTTGGAGACCACACTAGGTCCTTTCATGGTGTCGCGAAGAGGGAAGCAGTGGTTAAAAGAGAACATGGGAGGTACTGGAATTCCTTGACAATAACCTAATTGCCGGCTGAACTGGTTAGGGGCATAGAGTTCAGCCCCACTCTTTTTACAGTTGCTACTACAACCTATAAACAGATCTCGAGGAGTCACATAGGTTGTCCATGTTGAAATGAAGTCTGTTGTTCCCATTTCCGCCTTATACCAGTCTGGCCCAAATTGTCTGCTTAGGAATGGAGCAAATTCAGAATCTGGTTTATCGATGGAGAGGGAAGCAAAAAGTTGGAAGCAAGTTTCATAAGTCCTGACAGGTTTGTCTTCAAATGTGGCATCTTTGTAAATCATGCCATAAGTAAGAATTTTTTCAGTAGGCAGCGGCTTGAGAATAGGAGCCAAAGTCGGGAAATAACAGTACAACCAAAGCTGCAAAAGCCACAAAGGACCACCACAGAGGCTGAACGGATAAACAGTAGCATCATAGCAACTTTGATAGAGGCTAGCCAACAGAAATGGAGCAAGTGCCAGTCGCCTACCATGAGCTAAAGCCAAGGCCAGGGTAATATACTCCTTGGTGGGTCCTTTTCCAGCTACACAGACGATGAATTTGCAGATTAAGGTTAGAAGAAACGCAGTGTGTTCTCTCACGTCTGGGGTTTCAGATGGTTGCTGGCTAGCTTTAATAAAGGCATTATAGGAGGGTAGAATGGATTTTGTGTCAAAATCAGCACCCGGGACGCTCAATAAGGCTGTGATTTCTTCTCCAATGCAGGGCAGACCAGTAAGAGAGCAAATGTCAAGTAAAGTGACAGACATAGCACCGCAAGGGAAATGAAAACAATTATAAGACCCAGACCAAAACAGCAAGGCAGTTCCAAGCAAAACCCTATCCATGGACGTCTGGTAGGTGGTCATTTGAATAAATTCATACAGACCCAGTGTTTTCCATGTGTTCCCAAAGGGTTTTTCCAACCGAGCAACCCAGGCAGACCAATCATCAGATTTGTTAGTTGGCCAAGACCCAAATCTGCCAAGCCAAGGTTCCCAGTCTGGTTCGAGTTGGAAGGGGAGGAAATGTCTGTGAGGTTGAGGATACAGAGCATGCAAATTTGAGGGAGGTGTCGATGTAAAAACAGGACCCAGAATTAAAGAATCTGAAGTTTCAAGAAAGATTTGATCTGAAAAGCCTTTTGGTACCTGATTACAAACCGAAGAAAGCTCTTCTTGCAGATCTCGGTTTTCGAAGATGTCAACAGGGTCCGTCTGTTCTGGGGGATCAGTTTGAGGGGAAGAAGCTCCGGCGACACCAGACGCAGTGCCAGCTTCCTTGCTGCCAGCCATGGTCTAACACTGGATCTGGAAGCGGCGAGGTTGAAGAAGACAACAGAAGGTGGGTTTATTCTATTTTGGTTGTGATTTCCCAAATGAGGTGAATGAAGTGAGTTTAAGTGTGGGTAGGCGATGAGGTGTTGAAAAAAAAAAATAAAAAAATAAAAAATAAAAAATAATAAAAAAAGGGGTTTGTGGCTGAGTCAACGGAGCATTTAAACATATTTAAATGAAAAGGAGATTGATTTGTGATAAGGAAATCTGCAGATTTTCGGGAAAGGAGCATAAAAGGTGGGGATTTAAGTTAATTAAACACGTGGCCTTAGGAGTCTTTAGAGGTGAGATTAAAATTTAAACACTTGGATTTATTCTCATAAAACCAAGTGTTGGGGGGCATTGTTTACACCTAAAATAAACCAATAGGGTAAGGCCACGTGTCAAGGTAAAGCCCAATTATTAAGAAAATCAATGGGCTGGATTTGGGCTGGGTTAGCTTGCAATTTAATGGCCCAGACGGATTTCCAAGGAGGTTGGATCCTAGGTGGCAGAAGATAAGATGGGATCTGGTAGTTTGGGTTTAATTTAAAATGGGAAATTGAGGATTTTTAGGTAGTTATCCTTAAGGTTGTTGGAGATAAGGTTAAATAAAATAGGATAACTGTCAAAGTAACTGCCAGACATGAACCCCACTACCAGTTTATGGAGGAACAGTACCGACATTCATGGAGGAAGTTTCCAGCACTGAAAGAGAACAAAAACAGAGAGAAGAGAACAGTTATCGGCCTGCCCAGCACACACACAGACTGCCCAGAGCATGTTTTTCAGCTTTCAGACTGCATTTTCCAGATTTCAGCAATAGCTTCCAGATTTTCCAGACTTTCCAGATTTTCCAGATTAGTTCATAGCCTTAGC